CCAAGGTGGTTCCGGAGACTAAGCTGGGTTGGTGGCCTCGAGTAAAGGGGCTTGATTCGGCCAGTGGATTGAGACTTTCTCGTGTCATACAGAGCTGAAAGAAAACAAGTCTCGAGAGGCCGAACTAGCCAAATGGCGTCTCGGACTTGTTATAACTGAGACGAATCCGAGCGTTTCGTTGGGCGTGCGAAGGATATCAACGTGTGGCACAATTTGTTGTCCCACGAGGATCGGGGAAAGGTAGTTCCCCGATGAGCCAGATCTCGATGGATTTTGACCGGTTGATAGATAGGGCTCAATACGACCTACGGCTGTATTTTTCCCACTATCAACCTCGCATTAGGTCGGAAATCCTTGTGCAATAGGCCCCTGATTTTAGGCGCCTCAAGGTGCGTCCTACGTTTAGGTTAACCTTATTAGGCGCCTTGCACTTCACAGCAAGTAATTCCACAATAAATGCACCCAGGGTTATTCAAATCGCGAAAGAATCGCGAAACTTCCTCGCTCGGCTAATGCTGTCCCATTCGAGCTAGGACGAGTGAGTCAGGACTTGGAACAGCTTGTGGATGAGACTGATATGCAACCGATCGGGAATGGGTCCACACTGTGATGAGGTATTCATTAAGATACCGGTGTACTCGTTCAATGCGTCCATTAGATGGTGAATAACCACGCGGGGTGAACAAATGAATTGTGTCCACCAACCATCGAACCAAATCGGCCATGGCAAGACTAGAGTATTGGGTACCATTGTCGGTATGGAGCATAAGGGGCAGGACGTGAAAGGTGTGAACAATAGATGTGAGCAGTGTACAAACGTCACAATAGTGGCGTGTCATGTACTATACCGCTCCGCTGGTCGCCGTTTCGGATATTCCAAGATACTCCCAAGATACGCTCATCACATTCTCTATCGTGACAGCATTCAAAAGAGCATCACATGCTCAGATGGCACTTGCTTGTACTGCTCAAACTGCCCCGATCACTGATGGCATCACATTTACAAGTCATGGCTTCCTCGCATCCAGATCAAATTCCCAAGGAGCACCTTCCCCGCCTACTGCTACTCCAATGACATCTATGCAGAGTCATGACGATTCTATAATCATTCCCTATGACAACCTGAGAAAGAAGATCCAGGCTGTCGTTGGTGATCCGCCCGCCAAGGAACTCGTCTTCGACGGGACCTTATCTGAGAACTATCTCCAGTGGCGTGTTGCCATCCTAGAGAAGTTGAATAAGTTTGACGACGCTCCCAACCGTATTCAAGCTGAAGCTGTCGCAGCCTGCGTCATATCAAGGCATCCCTAAAAAGTGATGCATCCCGTGATGTTAGGTGTGAGCGCTATGCCATGGCCATCATTGATCTTTTGGACAAGCGATTCATACCCAGACCCCGGTATCCTCGGCCGACTCCTCCGAGCTCACTAGTTCTCCAGCCAGCATGCCTGGGCACAGGGCTGTACCTTTTTCCTCG